ATATTGTTTTTAGTATTTTTTGTGTATTTATTGAGTTCTGTAGTTATGTTTGTTAGATCTTTATGGTCTGATGCGAAAACGTTTTTAAATTTGTTGGTCTAACATTTCTTCATTTGTGTAAAAAGTTTTTAATTGTTTTTCTGTTGGCGACATTATAACAGAAGTGATATAAATTCCAGAAAAATTGAATTCCTCTTTTAGATCTACTATTTAATAGGCCATTATTTAAATCTAACGTATCGCTATTGTATCGCTTTCTCTTATGTTTTTATTTATGGTGCTTAATATATCTATTGTTTGGTTAACAATGTTGCCAGGCGCGTATCCAGAATTTTATTTCGGGAGGGGCTAATGGACATTTATAAACATAGTAATTTACAAGTAACAATAGTATTTTTTTTGTTTTAAACAGGCACATCTTGATGTTTGACATGGGCTTTTCGATTTACATGAACAAGAAGAAAAACCTTGTCCCCCTGTTATGACTGACACAGTTTCTCGAACAGTTAGCTCTTTGTCCAACACAATCTCGTCACTCGTTAAAAATGTCTCACATTTTTTTAAACAATCTCCTCCATACCATCCTTTAATCGTCCATGTTTAGTTCCTAGCTTATACAGTTTATTTTTTTTTCAACAACTAAACATATAATATTTGGTGGATCTGTAGGCCCTCTTTCGACTTTTGGAACAGCCATTACCACACAATCATTAACTTCAAGGTCTAGAACAGCTGCATAACTAGTCTATAAAAGAGAATTATAAATATTTTTATTTTATTTTTAAAATTGTGTTATTTAAAAATTTACCTGCAACATTTTTTAGCAAATTTTTTAATGCCATCAAAGGCTTTTTTTCGTTGCATTTTAATCTGTTCTTTTTTTCTACATAAGTTGCACATAATAGATCCAGCTTCATCTTAATTTTCCAYTTCATTTATTTCAATTTTACATATATCACATGTATAATTAACCGTTGAACATTGTAAAATCTCTTCAATTTCTTCAATTTCTTCTTCAGTTGTAATAGTTTGAACAAAATTATTTGGAAGTCTTGAACTTGTCAATCCAACTTTTGGGTCATTTCCAAATAACGCGTTATATGGGCTTCTACCAATAGTACGGTGAAATGAACAATTTTTTTGCCACTGAACAAATTGAAGACCGACCGACCATCTCTGGGACACATTGTCTTGCATCCATGATCTTAACATATGTTCAACGTCTTGATTGGCCCGCTCAATACTCCCTTGACTCTGAGGATGCCTTGGACGTCCATGTATAATAACACACTCCGGCCAAAGTTGTTTTAATTCATCGATTACAMAGTTAACA